ATCAAATTTAATAAACGTAAAAATAAAAACACTTTGGTTATCACTATGTAAACTTTTAATTCTTACTAAATACTATAAATTGTACTTATATTATTTTGGTCTTTTAATTATGTTACCTTAACAAGAAACTATCATTCATATTTTATTTATTATTCACATTATATTCATATTTATTATTTGTATTATTTATTTATTATTGATATTATTATTTATTATTTGCATCCTTTAAAATTATAAAGAAACTTAATAAAGTTTAGTAAAATTATTGAATATTATTCTAGCTTATTACAACAAAAATATATATTATTTATCTTTAGTAATAGTTTTTAGTCTCTTCTACTATAAAACTTAGTCTCTCTCATTTTTTAGTTAATAGAAATATATAAATAATACATCAAGAACTTAAAGCTTATAAAAATGATAACAATATAAAATATCTATTAATAAAAATAATTATTTATAATTGTTATTTTAATTAAAAAATTTATTATATATATTAAACAAAATGAATTATTTATAAATTAATTAATAAATAAGATAAATATTTTTTAATTAATATATATTTATATTTTTTTAGTATTTTATTTATGCTGTTTCATATAATTATTACAATTGGTATGAAAAATAATAACAAATATGTTTTTTGCTTATATCTTAATTAGAAAATTTTAAAAATTATAAAAATTTGTAAATAAATATTTTAAAATATTATAAACAAGATTTATTAATATTATAAAATATATTAGTATAATAATATTTTGCGAAATTTTGTGTCAAATATAATGAATTATAATTTTTAACAATTAAAATAAAATAAAAAATTATTTAAAAATATTTTTAATAAGAAATTTTGAAAAGAAATATATTTTGTAATATAAAAAATATATTTATAATTTTAAAAAAATTTTTTAGTTCATTTTTATTTAATAAATATCATTTAAAAAAGACTTTATTTTGATAAATTTTTTAATAAAATATAGTAAAATTCTTATTTTTACTATATTTTATTAAAAATTCATTAAAATAAAGCTTTTTTTGAATAATATTTATTAAATAAAAATGAACTAAAAATTTTTTTAAATTATAAATATATTTTTTATATTACAAAATATATTTTCATAAAATTCTTTTCAAAATTTCTTATTAAAAATATTTTTAAATAATTTTTTATTCTATTTTAATTGTTAAAAATTATAATTTATTATATTGAATATAAAATTTTGCAAAATATTATGTTTTATAATATTAATAAAACTTATTTCTAATATTTTAAAGAATTTATCTACAAATTTTCACGATCTTTAAAAATTTTCTAATTAAAATATAAGTAAAAAAACATGTTTATTATTATATTCATATTGATTATACAAGCTTTATTTTATTAAACTAATACTTTTTTATAATAAACAATAAATATTTTAAGCAAATTTAATTTCTTTATTATTATTACATAAATAACTTCAAATTTATTAAATATTTTAATAATAATACTTTTTATATTTATATATTTTTCTATTTATATTTTTAAACAAATTTTTTTATTATATATATAATTTGTAAATAAAACTTGAATTTCTTTTTTTATATATAAAATAATTATTATTAATTTTGAATATTTAAATTTACTCTCAAAAATAACTTATTAAATATTTTTAATTTTATCAAAAATAAATATTTTATGAAATAATAAAAATGTTGAAGTTATTTTTAACTCTTTTTTTCATCATCATTTCTTGAAAATTATATATATTATTTTTTTTTATGAATGAGTTTTACATAATGAAATTATAATAATACAAATAAATACTATGTCAAGATAATTCAACTCAATTATAATATGAATTATAAGTTAGCAAATAACAATATAATAAAAATATTTATTAAATATAATTTGTATAATATTATCAAGATAGTACATATAAGATAATTTTGCTTGATTCTAACATGAATTATAAGTTAGCAAATAATAATATAATAAAAGTGTTTATTAAATATAATTTGAATAATATTATCAAGATAGTATTAGTACATGTAAGATAATTCTGCCTTTTTGTTTACTGGATAAAAAGATACAAAATCAAAATTATAATAATAGTTATTTTATTAATAAAATTGTTAAAATGTGTAATTTTGTATGTTTCCAAAGTGATTTTATTATGTTATTAATTGGGCTAATTGCTACAACTTATTTTTTTATAGTTACAAGAATAACTGTATTTATATCTAATTTATATTAATTAAGTATTATATTGATATATCAGTTTGTCTTGCTCAGAGCACTAGTTCCATAGTTTTGGAAGTCACTGCATGTACATAGTCACTTTCAATATTACGAATGCATTTTGTAACAAATTCGATCTGTAATGAATAATATTTCTAGATCCATGTCAATAAATTTATTATATAAAAAGATCTTGTTATAATGAATCTCGCGATATAATAAATATAACATCGAGAATGACTATGTATAATCAAGAAAATTGCATTGAGTTAGCACCTGGAATCACCTGGAATTAACGCGATTCGGAGTCTTAATCAGAATCATGGAAGCAATGTTAATGTCTTTTCGATTCCTACCAAAGTCAAATGACAATGACCATGCTCAAGTTCAAAAAATGACGTGATTGTGTAAGTATAAATGCAAATCACACAACGATAACAATTGGAATTCAGTCGCATTAACAGATGACAATTTTTAATATATGTATCTTTAATGTTAGATGTTACGGTCTGGATTATGTGCAAAGCTGCTATGCAATCAAAAGAATTTTTTCATATATATGTATTTATGTAGCGAGAAATGACATTAGTACAGTTAACCTCGATATAACGAAGCATTAATAAAGCCGAAGTAAATCCATCGAATTTCGAAAATTTTTTATTATATAATACTCAAAATATGTGTTGAACTTACGTGTATAATCGATTGTAGACAAAATTTAATGCTTCATGTTTTCACACTACAAGTGACTCGTTATAGTAAAGGCATCCATAAAAATCTCCAAAAATTGACTATATCGAGAGTTTATTAATAAATTTACTATAACAAGAGGATTTATTATAGACTGGTTTTGGACGAATTTTACTATATCAAGAGTTTAATTAGTCTTTACTATAACGAGTTTACTATAACGAGAGTCATTTGTATCTATTAAGTATCCAAAAATGAAACAAAGAATTTGAGGGTAAAGAAAGAATCTAACTTCTAATTACGTAAAAAAAGTTGTGTTCCCATAAGCATATCAGGAGTAAAAAGTGGTTATGTGCATAGGCATATATCAAAAAACTTAAATTTTTCGTCGATTTCTATAAAAGAATAAACTTTTCTTACAGATAGCAAAGACTACATATGGTGCTATTTGATATCCGAAAATGTGTTATATAGACATTAGAGAACTGAGTTTCAATGAATAGGTTTGTAATTCCGAAAATCTTGATCGATGCATGAAAAAGAGTGAATGACTTGAAGACTTGAATGAATGAAGAAACAGTTTTGCGTGAAACCCAGGAGCATAAACTGTGCGGAGTGTTATATTGTATTTTTATAATAGCGTATACATTTTTGAATGAATAACGTGTTTAGTTTCGCACACATAAATGAAAACCGCCATTCTGAAAGCACGCGCCAATGGTAAAAGTTTATCAGCGTTGTGATGAATAAGAATCAATTTTTTTGTAACGACGCTTAACGTTAATTCCCAAATCACATTTACCGTTACTCGGAATATATTTCTGTGTCTTTGATTTCTTCGATGTCGGTCTTCCACATAATAATTATTTTGCTCTCGAAGTAAGTAAAATGCATTTTAACTTGCGGTGATGATAACGGCGACCTTCAGACAATAGCGCGGAAAAATGTTTTGTTACGATCGCTCTTTTTGACAATTCTCGCAATATCTTACTTTTTAGGGAACGAATATTTAGTTGATTGGTTTAATAGCAGACAATCAATAACAATAATTCAATATTTCTTTTTGTTCACATTTTTTATTGATTTATTACTATACGTACAGATATGCGTTTTTATTTTGTTTACAATATTAACCAGAAATAACCCCAGAAAAATAAAAACATTAGAAAAAACCTAAATTTACAAGAGAAAAGTAACATTATTATTAAGTTATAATTAATTATATTAGAAAATTGCAAATTAACTAAACTAAACTATTATTGATGTTATTATATTGTATGTACAAGAAAGTTATTATATTGACAAAATGTTATCGAGTATTGTTGATTGTTTTTTATAATTGAAAAAGTAAAATCCAGCTTCACTTTTTTGAACATTCTAGATATATTCTTAAAGCGAGTTCGCTTATTACTAGACGCCAAAGCTGTAATATTGATAGATTTTGCTCATCGCGTGCTCGCCAGTCCCAACCACATCCAATTTTCGATTGTGCACTCGATCAGCCTGAGGAATTCCAATTCGAGTCTCTTTTGCGTAATACCAACGGCGACCGTAATTCTGATCAATTTTCCAGTCTTTAACTGCTTGTATTTTTTTCAGCAACGACTCACTCATCTCAATCGTGTGCAATTGATTATTCGAATCTTTTTGTAGTTTAAACATTAGTCCATTTGTGTTCAGCGGATTTAGACATGGGATGTTACTAAGATCAATATATTGTAATTGTGGCATTGATATGAGAAAAGTCGAAAGATTTGCTGGAGTTGTGATTTCTGCGTTGGCGAGCCCGAGATTCTGAAGAGAAGAAGAACAATGCTTTTTTATTGCATTGAGCACACGTTGAGTAATATGTGAAAATCCGATGTCTAGGGAGCGTAGACTTTCGGCAGAAGGAGAACTTAGAATTGTGACGAGATCCCATTCGGAGATCATTGTATCTCCGTATAAATTCAAATTTTCCAGTCGATTGCATTGACTCACGAATCGTGAAATGCCATCTGAAGTAATATTTTTGCATTTAGCTAATGAAAGTTGTAAGAGTGTGTTGCTTGTATTTGTTTCTGTTTCGAGAAATTCTAGAGTTAAATCGGAAATTGAACAGCCGCCTAAATCCAAATGAGTAATATTTGGCATATGAGCGAGCAATGGAAGAATTGTTTCGTGTTCCGAGAGAGTCAGGCATTCATGAAGTGATAGACGTTTAATATGCGGGAGAAGAGGTTGTAATCGTTGGAATCCGTATTCAATATCGGAGTCAGCAGAAGTTTGAAATTGGACAATTTGAACAAGTCCAAGCGATTTGACGAGATCTTTCATTGCGTCGTTGAATTGTTTGCTCGAACAACCACAGAAATCGAGCGATTTAAGATTCCTGCACTCGGATACCAATGTCCGTAAGACATCGATAGTGATGGCTGATTCCAATGATTCCGAAACCGAAAATGCCTCGAGCATTGGAGTTGATTTCAAAATATTTATCAGTGCTTGCGGGGTGACAGATTTTTGAGTTTCAGTTTCAGAGTGACTTTTTTGCAGACCGAAAGTTGAGAAACTCGATAAATCCAAATGTTTAATCAGAGAGGTTCGGTAAGATTCACCGGAAATTGCATTCGCGAATAAAACAAATGTATTCGGGAACGTAAATGTTACAGTTTGATACAAGATTGGCGTCGCGTGCAAATTAAAAGTGTGATTCACGAGTGTGCAAGCCGATAGCGTTTTTTTGTCATCTTTAAGGTGGAAGAAAATATCGCGGATTAATTCAGATGGAAGATTGGGAATTTGTTTGTTTTTGTTGTTGTTCGATGCTGATTTAATAACATGGTATTCTTTATTATGATGTTGATTATTGGTATTATTGTTGTTATAAAAGGCAAGGTTTCGTGTGAAGTTCAAAAATAAGGTAGACATTTTAGTGTATTCGTAAGTTTGTATGTTGTATATCGATTAAAATCAAGGAACTAAAAGCAATTATAAAATCTAATTATTATAATAGTTATAATAACGATAATTAAAAATCAAAATCAAAAATAATCAAGGTATGAATTATTTATTAATATCGATTTTTTGTGTTCTAGATTTTTGATTTTGCATTTATTTGTGAAGTTGAGAAAAGCGAATGGTGTCTCTCTTTATATATCCTATCCTACAATATATGCTATTATATTATATTATATTATATTATATTATATTGTATTGTATTGTTGGTATATAAATTCTAAACTAGCACAATTTTATAGTGAATATAAATAAGGAAGGTGATACTTTACAACAAAGATCTCGAATATGAATAGGGTGTGATGAAAGCTAAAAAAGAGTCACACAGCATGATCTGAAAGCGGCAATTAAAAGGGGATCACCCATCCTTCTGTTTTATGATTCATAAATCACAACGATAAATTGTGTTAAATGGAAAGATTATAAGCCAAAAATATTTTATTTATTATCGTTATCGTTATGGTCAAGGACATAGTGCTTTGTTTCAGCAATAATTACTCTTAAATATTTTTTTTTGATGCTTCTTCGGTGACAAACATTCGGCACATCTTCACATTTTTTGATAAATGTATGAATTCTCGCTAAAAAAATAATTTGATGTACGACTAGTTAAGAAATCCGAGATAATAATGCTGGTGAATCATCATGGCCAAGTCGTAATGCAATGAATATAGGTGATCGTAATTGAGGAAATAAATGGTCAATAATGCAAAGCCTTAATGTTGTCACGGGAGTGACCACATGAGCGGTGAAAGCTGTTTTCGGCAAATGCCAAACAAAAAAGCAGCATGTGCATATAATATAGGCATGTTGCATATGCCGAAAGGTTCGATTATATGAAAATGACGACACAAATCTCCAAAGAAAGAATAACAAGAATTGCTGTGAACATGCTTATCGTTATTGCTGCGAATACATGGGTGAGTTTACAAATTTGACAAAATTAAAATTTCTATAGATGTTATCTTCGCACGTTTTATTTTTATGTATGCATTGGATTACCTTTAATGATGAACGGTCGCGCTATTTCTCTCTCGATAAGTAGCTTTTTTTGATAAGGTACATTCATTAGACAATAAATAGAAATAATCATTGAATAAACTTCATTATACGTTATATAGAAATTACTTGTAGCACCCTGTTAAATTGGCACCAGTTTTAGAAACTCAATTTCTGCAATCTCCGCTCGTTAAACGAATTTACTACGCTCTGTATGAATCCCTTTCCATAATTGTCACCAAAAAAAAGACCCTTTTTTATAATTATTATTACAATATTTTAGATGCAATGCATAAATCTCAATGTTTCTTAACTCGGGATAAATTACTAAAATAAGGGACTAAAGCCTGGTCCATCCGATAATCAGTCCGAAACACAAACCAATAATGATGCGTAAATTTTTGATCAACTCGGCAAAACAAATCCGAAGCGCGGGCAAAATAACGGAAAACAGATGCTCAAATCTATCTTGGTATACTAATAAAAAATGTCGGGGAGGAAATTTTGTGTATAAGCTTGATCACAACTCCACCTAAGCTTAAAATCAATCTTTAATTATATAGTCATGTATCACGTGATGGATCAGGCTTCAGATCATGGTGAAACTTTTGGCCAGAGTTATACAGATATTTGCAGATCTTTTGGCCAAAAAATTCATGAAGATATTGATATATTACTATAACCTGCCACAATAAATGATACACAGTGTTTCCCCTTTTACAAAGTTCTCATCGTTGTAAAATAATTTGGATTGTTCGGATTATTTATGTTTATGTTTATGTTTATGTTTACGGTTAATGGTACAGTTTTATTGTTCTTGTTATTATTGTTGTGCTGTGTGCCGGCAAATCGGGGACACACACACAAATAAATACGTGTCATTATTTTTAGCATTAAATTTTGTGGCATTACACAAGTTTGTGATTTATATTTTCTACGGTTTAAAAAGTACTTTAAATTTTCTACACTAACTTAAACCGTAAAGTACGGTATTTGTTAATTAAGAGAAAAAGTCAAGCTAATCTCACCGTATAGCACTGCTTAAAGTACCTTCACTTGTAAAAACTTTACATCTCAGTCATTCTTTTAGTAATTATTCATTTGGCAAAAAAATGGACTAATTTAAGGTTTATGTATAAAAAAAAAGTTGAAAAGAGAGTGCCAGGTCTGATCTAGTATGAAAAAGGATAGTTAGTAACAATAAAAAACGTCTAAATAAGGGAAAAAGAAAAAGTGTGGGGTGAACCCAAACATGCACATACACACGTAATATGCGATAAAAAGGAGTATAACGATACTCCTCCACACACAAAGGTAATCAGGAAACGTGCTAGTATTTTTCTATGCGTGTTACAGAACTTAGGGTCGAAAATCATTTTTTTATTAATTATTATATTGTCGGTGTGTAAATTCCACATTCTTACATGTATCCCTAAGTAAAATAATTACAAATTTACTTTAAATGTAATCTAAAGAACACAACTTCTGAGCAAGAAATATTTATTTTCTCGAGATAATCAATTTATTTAGGAAGATTCTGCATAAATAATGAAGTACCAAAGTGAAGACAAAAGGGCATATCATGTGATTCCGATCCCAATGCCGACCATCTGATATCTCCCTTAAAATCATGCACCAATCAAATCGCAAGATCAATGTGCAACGCAAATGTTATTTTTGAAAAATAGCTTGTATCTTAAAATTTGCATATGAAACTATCTTTTGTGCTTTAATAAAAAATGTTCTTGCGAAATTTTACTGTACAATAACCTTGACTCTAAACCTAACCCTAACCCTAACCGAAATTCTATTTAAGAGGGATATCGGATGTTCGGCATCTGAATCGGAATCACATGATCTGCCCTTTTTTTTCGTCTTCACTTTGTTACTAAAATAATGTCTTTTATGATTATATACCGTAATACTATGTTTCATCTCCTTATTACTAGCAATGTTTCTTCATCTAGCATAAGAAAAACGCGTGATAAAACAAATTAAATATATATTTCTATGTCTAATGAGAAATCATGTACGATGTGCTACCACCTTTTGTGGACGTACGAATAGTAAAATAGTAATGATGCGTGAGAAAACGGATTTGTCATGTATAGAGAAAATAATGAGTACATTATTTAATTTTGCGTAGTAGTATTATGTTACTGTTATATTATTTATTCGGAAAATACATATAAAAATATTATTATCTAAAGTTGTCTTGATTATCTTATCTTTACCCCACAATAATGATGTAATATTATTTGGTGAGAACAATGCATGTTGTTGTCACCGCATAAACAATTACCTTAGACAATCATCATCATTTTTTCATTGAATGTGTCTCCTTACTGGTTGATTTATCTGCTAGATGTTTTTTCGCTCTTTTATCATTAGTGTAATAATAATAATACGACTTATTTGCCAAAAAAATTTATTTATGGTTGTGATGTTTAAGGCATAATTTATTTATAATATGATCGAACAAACAGTATTATTCAATTAGATTATGAAGAAATGAGTGGAAAGAAGTTGTGTACGAGTGGGTTAACTGCATTTACAAATAATATGCACACAGAAGTAAAGAATATCATCACATATAACATGATGAATATTGTTTCTAATATGCGTCATTTTACAAAAAGAGAACGAGTTATTTATTGAATGAATAAATAAATGAATTCACTAATTGATAAATGAAAATTAAAAATTAATGATTGTTTCCTGCTGTTGTGATCAGGTTCTCTCTTCATCATGAGGTCACCACAAACCTTCTTTCTTCTTTTTCCCTATTTTCTACCTCATCATAATAATTTCACAAGCCGACAAACCACTCGCAAAAAAACTTTTATATTACCTTAGTTGTTGAAGAGTCTCTGTATGAATGTTTATAATTGTTGCAAACTAGTTTTCTTTTCCCACATTGATTACCATTATGTGAGATAATAATTAACAATTGCACACATAAGATTACACGACATATAACATTTCTTGCATGGCATAAATATTCAGAATTCTTCCCATTAAAGGAACATAAAAAATTGCGGAGTTAAACAATGACACAAAAAATTGTTTGCTTTGCCATCGATCTAATTAATAGACCAAAAACAAGACCCAATGGATTGTTGCGTTTGTTTTAAAACTGGCGCCAAATGTTTGTCACATCTCCGAGTGAAAGAACAATCGTAGAGGGATATTTTATTGTTATGCACTGTAAATCATATCGTTATTGCATCAGATAAGATAATCTAGTTACATAGATATCACTGCCACATTACAATTTTCGGTCATTATATTATATCGTCATATTATATATTATTAATACACAAAGTGCTCCGTTATTTACAATATTATTAATCAGGGACGTTGTAAAATCCAAATGAAAGCTAAAATTAACAATAATAGTGCCAAAGCTCTATTATCGTGGGATGTGTGTATATCTTCATTCCGTTTACTTAGATCTCGATTTTCTGAATATGTTTTTAAAATATCTTTTTATAATGGTGACTTGGGAACTGAACTATATGTATTACTTATAATTTCGGGTAACAAATGTTTCTATAACAAAGTAAAAAAATTACATCACAGGAACCGACTCAATAGAAACTTTGCTGCGAAATAAATCATCACTGCTACTATGTTATGTATTTACTCAATTGACATCATTGTTTTAAAATAAATGACTCATAAAAGAATAATTAACGCCCATTAAAAAACTAAAGTTGTCTTGATCATCTTATCTTATATGTGAGATTTCGATTAGAAAATCCTTGTGAAAAAAAATATGTGTCTCTATGTCAGTGCATAACCCCACTTTACTCTCACTACCAAATAATTTTTGATTCGAGGCTTTGCAGCGACAACGTAGAATTTGGATCGTGCATAAATAATCATTATACATGTAATAGAAAAAGCTGCGCGAGTAATAATGTTTGCGTGCTCTGTATGATTGGTTTATAGGATTTAATTAATAATCACGATTACTATGAGCTTCTTTCTTTACAATCTGTATATAGAATGCGCGGTGATAATTTACTCTTCCATCTAAACTTCTTGTAATCATTACCATATTTTTCTCATACTGGTTTCCCTAAAGAAAGTCATGGCTTTTTAATTTCGTGGGAATCCGATGCATTTACTTTTTCAACTCGAAAAAAAAGCTGCGTCAATTATTTCAGTTAATCGTCACAAAGGAAGTGCAAACATATGAAGAATAACCAGTTAATCGTCACAAAGAAAGTGTAAACATATGAAGAAGAACCAGTTTCACACTTTTCTACAATTAAGGTAATGTTACAAAATGTGGAGTAAAACAATCACACAAAATAATTGCTTACACTAATAAGTAAAAAATGCATATCGTATTAATAACGAAAATATGCTTTAGGGAAGGAGTTTGATTGGTTTACATACTTTATTATGCATAAGGATCTATACATTATCTATGCTATTTTATTTTATTTATACATCGATGTTCATTGGATTTCTTTAATAGAATCATTGAATATAGTGGATCAAAAAAGCGAAAACATAGGTTTGCGATATTAAGTTGAGTTTTTTTTTTAGATCTGTTATCATTACCAACCAATACTTTAATAATTTAAATTAACTTTTTTCTCTTACATCACAGGCAAGTAACTACATGTAAGGGCAACTTCTTTTTCCATTACTTTTTTTAATAAGTCACTCTTTCATTAAATACATAGCACCCATAACACGCTCTTTTAGTGAAAATTCATAATATCAGAAATAACTACAAGTTTCAAAGTAAAAGCCAGTGAAACTTCATAATATCGGAAATAACTACATGTTTCAATGTAAAACCCCGAATTAGAATGAAATATTTTCCTTTACAATAAGAAAGAAATTAACAAAGAACAAGGCAAAAAACAAAAATAATTGATTTGTTGCGAAACTTTTTACTTGTAGAAATTCTGAATTTCGTGCTTGTTAATAGAATACTTTCATTTTCATTATGAACTTTGATTTTTGTGTAGAAAATTATATCATATTATCGAACTTGTCTTAACAAAATGCTACTACAATCAAAGATTAAAAATTATAGCTCGTGTTAGC